TGTGATAGCACAGCACTCTACCAAGGGGGACATGGTGAGACTCTGTCTCAAAAAAAAAAAAAAAAAACAAACTGACCACTATGTGAATTCAAAAGTCTGAAAAATTTCCCTAGAAATTGTTCAAATGTTTAACGGAATATTCTTGAAGAAACCCGCAAATAAGGCTAAAGTAGCTGAAAATGTCCCCCATGAAGCTTAAAAAAAAACCTCCCAAGGTGGTTAATCCACAACTCTCTGCCTCAACTGCAACCTAATTTCCAAGATTCCTATGTAAAGAGTACGCAGACTCACACAAAAGGAGGCTTTGGCAAGGGTTTTATTGGCAGGTCGTCAACGGCAGCTTGTCTCAGGAGGCTCCGGTTGGGATCTGGGCCTTGCCCAAGCTCCTCTTGATGAAGTAGCCCACCAGCCGCTGTGGCCGCTGCTGGTACTCAGACAGCACCTCATGAGGACTGGTGATCTGGTCCCCTTCCAGGCGGTCCAGGAGGGTGACACACACCACCGCCGCTGCACAGAGCAAAGACCATATCAAAGCAAAGTTCTAGATCCCTAACAGTCCCCAGAGACAGAAGGACCAGAAAGCTCTTGGGGACCCGTTCTGCCCCCTTCAGGAAACAGGCTGGAGGATCAGTCAAAGGGGCCCTTAAGGGGGCAGGCGCTGGGTCCAGGCACTCAGAAGATTCCACCTTCCTCTCTGACTCCTCCCTGCCCTGTCCGCTTATTCTCTTCTTCTCTCGTCTTCCGAAAGAAACTCTCGGGCCAATTCCAAGACCAGCTCAGCACTGCCCTCTACTGCCTTAAAAGGCATGTTATCGCTGAGGTGACACAGATGCAGGGACTCAGCAAGGTAACCCTGGCCCTGAAGGGGGTGAGCAACTTGGGGGTGGATTCACCACTGTGGAGGGAAACAAGAGCTTGGAAAGCTAAATTCTCTATAGGGCCAGAGGCAGTCCCACCAGGTGGCGCCCCTGACCTCAGGGGCTGGTCTTCTCCATCATCTTTCCCACCCCACTCAGCAGCAGGGGGAGGCACAGCACAGACCCTGAGGATGGCACATTTGCTGTGAGGCGACCAAAGGACACTGAGCACTGGGTTGTGGGGAAGCCACCTCGGTCAGTTTCCAGAAACTGACGTTGGGCAGGGTTTCCAGAGCCAGAAACTGGTGTTCGGGTGCCCTGGGAGGAAGGGCCCTGGGAGGGGCTCCGGGCTGAGCCAGCAGAGCAGAGAGGGATGCAGGGGCTGAGGCCCGCTGACACCACCCACCTCGGAGGCCACAGGCGCTGCACATGGCCGCGAACACGGAGGATTCCATCTCGATGTTCCGGATGCCTGCTGCATAGGCTGCCCGCAGATACGCCTGCTTGTCCTTGTCAGTGTAGGAGCAGAAAGCACCGTCCAGTCGACCTTGCCCTGAAGCACAGACACAAAGACTTAAGAACCGCATGCGCATAGTACGCGCCTACTGTACACCGCACCATGCTACGGGCCAGGACACAGCGACGGGGGAGACTCATCGAGGTCTCGCCTGTCCGGTCAAGCAGGCTGTGGTAACCCCCACGGCCAGAGGAGCTGTGCAGGCGACAGCCGCGGGGAGGCGGGCTCACACCCAGTCTCACCTTCATAGAAGTCCAGGGTGCACATGGTGTTTCCCACCACCGTGGCGAACTCGCTGAGGTCCGCGGAACACTGCATCAGTTCCTGCACCAGCTGCTCGTCCAGGTCTGTGCTGCGGACCACCCGCTTCCCCAGGACCATCTGCTCAAACTCCGGCTTGAAGCAGGCGTCCACGGCCTGCCGAGTTATGACCACAGAGCCCGGCTCCAGACCTGGAGAAAGCAGAGGAGGTCGCGACTGTGCAGCAGGGCTCGTCTGGAGCAGCAGTCAACCCACCAACACGCCAAAACGCGGAGGCTTTTTTTATTGTTCCAAGAAAGCACACTGATCCATTTTCCCATTAATAGTTCTTTTCAGGCTATAAAACTAATTAACACGTGATCATTGCAAACACTGTGGAAGGGAAAAGTGGAAAAAAATTAAAATTGCTGGGCACCTCCCCATCCTCGGTCCCATGCCTGTGTCTCCGGTCACTATTTGTCACTGTCAAACAGGTCACCATGTGTTTAATTGCTCCCTGTTTTGCAGCTTCTTATTAAGATTTCAAGCAAATACTTGGAAAGTAAACAGGCAGCAAGCAAACTGGACAAAGACAACCAACTGCCACACACCCAAGCCCAGCTTAGCCATCACCAGCTCCCAGGCAACCCCGCCTTCCTCTAGGACGGTTAGTTACAGCTCACTGTTTGCTGGACATAGATTCCTGGAATAGGGACGTTATTCTGCTCCTTATTCTTCTGTCTTATAATTTATATGTAATTAGACTATTGCTCTGAATGTTTGTGTTCCCCCCAAATGTGTATGTTGAATGAAATCCTCATCCCCAAAGCAGTGGTGTCAGAGATGGGCCTCAGAGAGGTGATCAGGTCTGTGAATGGGATTTGGTGACCATACAGAGGAGGCCCCAAACAGACCCTTCATCCCTTCTGCCATAATGAGGACACAGCTAGGAAGACTGCCATTGCTAGACACTGAATCTGCTTGACCTTGGGCTTTGAGCCCCCAGACTGTGACAAAAGCCAACCAGTCTATGGTGGGTTTTGCTGTTGTAGCAGCTGGATCAAACTAAGATAACCGCAATACTTTCCTGGTATCTATTTTAGTGCAAAATTAGTTTTAATAAACCTACAGGAAGGAACAAGAAGTCAGACAATCTTTTCTAGAGGTCTCATGTTGGGTGTTTCTGTGAAACACAAAATACATGGCTGACCACTAAGACCCCCAGCTGTGTCACTTTACACCCACATTTACCTGAACTTCCTCTTTCCCTTGCTGCCTTCCCTGTTCTGGGCAATTCAAAGCGTCCCGTAGGGGGCTTCTTCCAGCACTGAGGCTGGAGCTGAAGGGAAACGTGGCCAAGATCCTGATGAGTGCACAGGCCTGGAGTGTCCGTGCCCCCTGGGAGTCCAGTGTCACCCTCCCACTGCACACCCCTCCTGTGCTGGCTGCTGGTCTGTGTCCCTGCGCCTTCCCAGACATACCCACTGGCTTTCCTGAACTTCTGACCTCAGGTCTCTCCACTGCACTGAGCTTCTTCCCAGGCAACTGCTGACATAGCCCAGATCCTGCCACTGCCTTCCCCGACCTGTCCACAGTTCAGGATCAGCGGGGACACAGTTTCACATTCTTCTATCAGTGGGGCCCAAAAGTGCTGGGTTTTGCTTTCCAGTCAGTTTTTCCATCTTTATGGGGCAATTATAAAGATTCAAAATCTATACTACACCTTCTAGAATTCTCTATGATCATTGTTTTTAAAAATTTCTTTTGAGCAAGAACTCAAAAATGATTTTTCTGGAGTTGCTGGCAGACCCAGGCCTGACATACATAGCTGAGTATCTAGCTGATGGCAGTGGAGAAGACTCAATCCTGGGAATGACTTCTTTAAACTCAGAATTCTGATCATGCAAACACAGATTTCACACACCAATCTCTCTTTATATGACCAAAAGAAAAAAATAAGATAATGTGTTCAAAGATTTGGACTCTTAAAGCGAGTCCCCTTTCTAAATTTCAGAATTACACACAGTTCTGGCCACCAACACCCAGCCTAAACTTGCTCTAAGGCAAATGCCGCCTTTTCCAAGCACCTCAGTGGGTGTAAGAATTGCTGGAACCCAGTTCTAAGCAGAAAAACTAGCACAGAGTTAGAACCCCAGAGAGTAGGATAATTTATTTAAAACAAATCTGCCATCAGGCACGGAGCTGGCGCCTGTAATCCTAGCACTCTGGGAGGCCAAGATGGGTAGATTGCTTAAGCTCAAGAGTTCCTGATCAGCCTGAGCAAGAGGGAGACCCTGTCTCTACTAAAAATAGAAAAACTAGCTATGTATTGTGGCGCGTGCCTATAGTCCCAGCTACTTGAAGGCTGAGACGAGGATGACTTGAGCTCAGGAGTCTGAGGTTGCTATGAGCTGTGATGCCACAGCACTCTACCCAGGCAAACAGGGTAAGACTCTGTCTCAAAAAAAACAAAACAAATTTGCCCAATACACTTTTCCTTATAAATCAACTATATTTCAGCATTTCATTTTCTCGTTAAATCCTATTCTTTACCATCTTTGTTTTTTAAAACACACGTTGACTGGGAAATTCGGGGCTGATTTAAGCACACTTATCTTGGTTCTGTATTCCACCTCTCTGTTCCCCCCTGTGATTTTCCCGTAGGTTCTCATAAGGTGCTCCAAATCCTTGCAGGAACAGGGAGGAGGAGAAGTGAGCAAAGGGAAGGAGAGAAAGAAGAAGGGGGATTAGAAAGAGCAAACAGAGAGAATCAAGCAAACAAGAAGGCCCAGTGCCAACAGCCCCTCAAGAATGAGCCTCTACGCGCGCTCAGCACGGGGCCTGCCTGCACCTGTCTCTGGGGTGCCAGCTGGGAAAAATAACAAAACAAGCTTCCTTTCACGCTTCCTATTAAAAAGTGCTGCTTGAATAAAACCAAGGAAGAAACTTTGTGTCCCCAATCCCATGCCACGCTGGAGGTGCCTCAGGAGGCCCCAGTCCCTTGTGTGTCACAGGTCACAGAGGCCCTCTGCAGACCTTACCTATCCCGCCGGAAGTACCAATGCGGATGACAGTGACGTCGGAGCACCTGGCATGGTACAGCAGCTTGATGAGCTCATGCAACATGATGGAGATGGAAGGAATGCCCATACCGTGCTGGAACCAGGGAGAAACAGCAACGTTAAGCCAAAGCTGTGCCTTCATCAGTGTTCTGACCGGGATACTTCAGTCTAATATGCCCATCGTGGAAGATGAAACTTAAAACATAAATTTTCAAACTGTTAACACTTGGGAAACTTAAAAAGTGTATGCAAATCTGTCACAGAGAAGGTGACCCCATCTGATCCACATAACTTTTCAAATAGGCGGCAGCTGAGGAACCAGAGGCCCAGCCAGGGAGGCACCAGCCACCACTCTGGGTAACAGACAAGCAGCCCCTTCTGGCACTCTGAGCCCTGCATAAACACCCACTCCACTCCCACACACTCTGTGCCTCTTTCCACTTTTTTCTCTACCCTTTCTGCATCAGCTAAACTAAGTAACTGGCTGGCCCTTAGCCCACTGGACACCGGGCCTCTCGCTGACCCTATACTTTCCCACCTGTGTCTCATGTCTCAGCATCTCTGTACACTTCGCCCCTAGGCCTTCCCTTCAAAGGCCTCCCCCGGAGTCACATCCTTCTTGACAGCGCTCCTGGATGCCCTCAGCACTTTCCACGTGCTGTTCCTGTGGCAGAGTCCTATGGCAAAGGTATCCCGTTTAGAATCTGTCCTGGTGTCTTACACACAGGAGGTGCTGCCACGAATTATCAGTAACTGAACCATGATTTGGGTGCCTGATGTGTCCTAGGTGGTTGATATCACTGGAGGCCTCAGCTAACCAGTGACGTGGTGGGGGGAGAGTGTCTGGCCAGACAGGGTGTCCCTCCAAACTCTGTAGTCCTTCATTTATACTACTGCTGACAAAGGAAGTTAAAATCAGAAAGTGGGAAGACTCCTTTGGTGGAATACTGGACGTTCCTGTGTTCCCTCCCACTGCTACATGAAAATCTGTCATAAACTAACACATTCCTGTGCCGTGGCAGAGGAAACCTGAGGCCTGGTACTTGTCTGTGACTCTCCTTACAGGACAGGCCTTCCTGTGTCTCCTGTATGCCCTGGGCACCCTCACCTGCCACCTTCACACTGTGCACACAGCTGGATGTCCCTGCTTTTGTGTACTTAGTTGCCCCTGGAGACCACCTGGAGGGCAGGAGGCTGGGTCTCTTTTATCCTTGTACACCCGCTGCTGCAGGCTCACCTAGCTCCCAGCCATGTGCAGTAAACAAGTGTGAGGGAACAGTGGTCCGAGTGGGCAGGGGCTGCAGAGCCTAGAAACCAAGCCCACGTGCCGGGCGGGTACTCACACTGACAGACAGCACCGGTCCTACTTTATACATGGCGTAGCGGTCAGTCCCTGCACAGATGTTGGGATACTCTGCACCCGGTTGGTCAAGGCCGAGCTGCGCGCCAACGTACCTGATGAAGGCGTTCATCCGGGAGGGGCTTCCACCAACACACACAAACTACAGCCAGAAAACAGAGCCTGTCAGCGCACTGTGTACACCAGGGGTCCACAACGCAGCCAGCATCGCCGGGGACCCTGACTGATACACAAGTTCGCTGACCTCGTCCGAACCTACTATGTGTGCGGGGCCCCAGCAGTCAGCTTCACTGAGCCTCCCTGGAGTGTGCCACAGGGGCGGACCACAGCCCCAAAGTGTAATGCAGCCAGCTCCATAAACTCAGGAACCTGGACTCTGGTTCACTTCTGAGAAGGGCATGCCAGGTCTCCTGCATACACAGCCACCCTCCATCACATGGGAGACAGCTCAGGGTACTGAAGAGAATTTGGGTTTGTAACGAGACAGTGGGGTCCTCACCGTGTGACCAGAGCCTTGCAACCCAGTGACAGGGTGGCCTACTCAGCAGAGGCTCCCTCTTGCCTGGTCATTTGAGTGCCAGACGGCCAATGTTTGGAAAGAGCCAGGACCCTAATTGAAGTTTTACCTAATTGCTGGTGGATCTTTCTCAGAGAACTAAACACTTTAATTTTTGGAGCATCATTTAAGAAAACTTTTTGTTTTACAAAAAAAACAAAAAGAAAAGAAAAAGAAAGGAAGGAAAAAAGTAAATATGTTTTGAAGAGATTGGAGGATAAAAAGATATGTAAACATATAAAAGAAACTTCCACAGCCTGGGATAATAGTCACCGTAGATTAATGGCATGGGATGAACGGATACGGAATGAAGAGCACATTCAGAGCTGTACCCAACTGGAAACCAACACCATCCAAGAACTCAGTAGCTGGGGGCGCTCAACCCTGCACTGAATTACAATGTCATGTACTAGCAAAGGGTTCCCGGGTCCTGTTGCACTTCGACTTTCAATTCCATGGTAGTTCATCTTTACCCATGGGGATTAGATACTCAAACGTCCTCTGCTGACTTAAATCAGAACTGAGGGGTTTAAGACTTTTTAGGGCAAATGAACTGAAAGCTGCATGAACCAAAAAAAAAAAAAAGCCATTAAAGACAATTAACTAAACAGAATATGAACACACATCTCTTTTTTTGGATATGGAAACTTTGGTTTAAGGCTGTGCACAGTGGCTCACACAGGTAATCCTAAAATTTTGGGAGGCTGTGGTGGGTGGATCTCCTTAGCTCGTGAGTTCAAGACCAGCCTGAGCAAGAGCAAGACCTCATCTCTAAAAATAGCTGGGCATTACGGCAAGCACCTACAGTCCCAGCTACTTGGGAAGCTAAAGCAAGAGAATCACTTGAGGCCTGGTGCAGTGGCTCACACCTATAATCCCAGCACTTGGGAGGCCAAGGTGGGTGGATTGCCTGAGCTCACAGGTTCAAGACCAGCCTGAGCAAAAGCGAGACCCTGTCTCTAAAAAAATAGTCAGGTATTGTGGCAGGCGCCTGTAGGCCCAGCTACTCAGGAGGCCAAGGCAAGAGAATCTCTTAAGCCCAAGAGTTTGAGGTTGCTGTGATGCCACAGCACTCTACTGAGGGTGACAAAGTGAGACTCTGTCTCGAAAAGAAATAATAATAAAAATAAAAATTTGATAAACATATAGTTTCATGAACCTGCCAGCTGTCCTCTCTGCCATTGGTGAGGAAGCCCACCTGAATCGTTTAGGAGGCTGAGTTTAAGACAGGTTCTGAGAATTGTTACCTTCACATCTCCAAACATAGCCGGGAAATCATGTGTGCCAGTGCTGAGATTGAAATGGTAGAGAACATCTTCTTTCATTGTCGCCACATTTGGATTTAAAAGTCGGACAAGGTGGTCGCTGTAAAAAAATAAAAAAAAATAAAAAATAAAGGGGAGGTTTCATAGAGCACCAGCGCCCAGTGGCTGACTCTATCACAGGACTGGCGGCAGCAGGTGGGAGAAGGGCACGGCCAGATCCCAGGAATAAGACACCCCAACTCTGCGGTCCCCACTCCTGTACACTATGCTTCCCCTCTTCCTTCCTCTTAGCCCCAATTTGTTCCCAGGGCTTCTGTCTAAAAGGGAATCTGGAAGAATTCAGAAAAGCACACAAAAGTACATGATGAAAATGTGAAATCTGCCCATACCTGGAGGACAGCTGGTTGCTACCATAGTCAGGTTCATTCGACACGTAAACTTGATCTGTTTTAAAACTACTATGTTCACCTCAAGAAACAAGGACAGAAATTTGAAGGGCAAAAAAATCATCACTCACTCTCCCACCCAGAGATAGACACCCTTCCCAAGTTGCAGGCCTTCCGTTTCTTTTTCTCTTCTCTTGCACTAGCTCCCACTCCTCCAGCACAATGTCCAGGAAGAGTGGCAAGGTAAGACATCTGTTCATTTGGCCTTTTCTTCTGAGTGGCTACTAGAAAATGTCTGTGCGGCTCATTCTGCATCTGCACACTGCAAGCCTTCCATCATAAAGGGCGAGGCAGTGAGTGTGCTTGGCTCTGGGGCCATATGCATTTTCTATACTTCTCAAGTCTTCCAAAGTTGTGTGAAAGAACCACAGACAACCCTAAATTAAGTGAGTGGGTTGTGTTATTTACAAAACACAGATCTAGATGACTCCCTCTCCAGCCTGCCCAAGTCCCTTCAGCCCCTTCAACAGTGTCTGCTGATTCCCAGAGATGGGCACACTCTTCCGTAGAAACTGGGGCAGACATGGATTCCAGACCTCAGAATAATTGGGCCTTCCCTTCCTTCCTTCTTTTTTTTTGTTTTTTGACACAGAGTTCTGCTGAGGCTAGAGTGCCATGGCTTCAGGCTAGTTCAAAGCAACCTCAAACTCCTGGGCTCAAGTGATCCTCCTGCCTTAGTCTCCCAAGTAGCTGGGGCTACAGGCACCCACCACTACAACCCGCTAATTTGTCTGTTTTTAGTAGAGATGGGGGTCTCACTTTTGCTTAGGCTGACTGGAACTTCTGACTTCCTGGAGTGCTAGAAGTACAGGCCTGAGTCACGGCATCTCTTTCTTCCTTCTTAGTCTGAGTTTCTACCCGGGTCACGCTGATCATGTTCCCACCTCAACCTACCTCCTAAGAAAGAAAAGAGTGTGCAAGGAGCCAAGGCTGTGGCTGCCTGTGATGTGCAAATACCACTAGACAAAGGGATGCTCCCCACATGGCCCAGCCTTCTCTCTCCCTTTCCGGACAATGCTCATCACACCCTACAACACTGGCTTACATAATTAATGGAATAGCTATTAATATCATTATCCCCAGTAACAAAACTCCTGGATGCCACGACCACGTCTTATTTATCTCACACAGCACACATGTGACAGTTAGGAAGGCCCATCACTGTTTCGTATTTTCTCATTTATCTATTCCCTGTTTCTAGCTGGCATTTGGCATCAGCAGCAGACACCCAGCCTCCAGACACCGAGAGCTCCAGTTTCCCTCTGCCTATATCCAAATGCTTCTTTCTCTTGTGTTTCTCAAATTTCCCCTCCTGTCCATTCACCTCCCCAGTGGTGTCCTGAACATTTTCAAAAGGCCTGCATAGGAAAGAAGTGCAAAGAAATTAAAGAGGCACAGGTCTTCCTATAAAGAGAGTGTGAGGCCAGTTGATTTTCCTGGGTAAGTGTCAGAAGATTTCGAGAGACCGGTGGGCTGATAAACTGTCAACAGTGGCCATTCGAGGCATGCCAAGCACGCACCCAGACTGTGCTGATGACACAGCAAGAGTCTGTCCGGGAAGGGCGGGTGGGCGGGCAGCCTGGGACACAGAGCCACTCTCACCTGCCCCTCACCCCACCGCTTCCAGACAAGCTGGATGGATCTCCAGACTCAAGGCTAATTTTACTCTGGGGTGGGGTGGGAAGGCCATTTTTCAGGGGTCCAAATCCAGGATTATGTGTGAATAGGACCATCTCTAAACTTCCTGAGTACAGAGAAAAACAAGTTCAAACTGCTGTCCCTATGTGTTCAGTCAACACAGAAGACGGCTGTGACCAGATGTCTGGGGGGATTGTCCCCACCACCGAGCAGGCCCTCTACTCTGTGAACAGATGTCTGGGGGGATTCTCCCCATCACCAAACATGCAATCTACTCTGCAGTGCAACAAACTCCAAATACACAGTTTACAATATCACACTTTCCCAGAAAGCCTTTGAGGTCTCTAGGCCAATCTGAAATTCTGATAATCAAACCCAATCTACAGTACTTTAAGGTCTTTTAATGGCAATTATTTTTAATGTAATGAAGGTTCCTGTTCTCTTTCAGGGCATTATGAATAGATAAAATGCAAAATAGAAGGACTAACAGGCTTCAAAATGACAAAACAGGATGTGATTAAGACAACTAATGTTGCATATTTCAAAACAGAAAAACTCTATTTCCTTCTCAATTCCAGGAAAAGGAGGAGAAGGAAATCAAATGAAGACCAACAATAGTTTTAAAACATGTAAATTTGACAGGTATCATAGTGAAATGGAACATGCTCCAACTTATTTTTTAAAAGAATTTCAAAATAATAAGTCAGATACCTATCACTTGAAAAGAATATTTTTCTAGTCTATATACAATTTCAAGTGACTTCATTTTATTTTATTTTGTTGCTTTATTAATTTAAAAAATATTTGGGGCTCAGCACCTATAGCTCTGTGGCTAGGGCGCCAACCAAATACACTGGAGCTGGCGGGCCTGCCAAACAACAATGACAACTACAACCAAAAAATAGCCGGGCTTTGTGGCAGGTGCCTATAGTTCCAGCTACTTGGGATGCTGAGGCTACAGACTTGTTTAAGCCAGGGACACACAAGAACTGTATTAAAGGGTTGCAGCATTAAGAAGGTTGAAAACTACTGGCTTAAGCCCAAGAGTTGGAGGTTGCTGTGAACTGTGATGCCACAGCACTCTACCTAGGGTGACATAGTGAGACTGTGTCTGGAAAAAAAAAATAAATTAGGCTAGGCATACCCATAGCACAGTGGTTAAGGCACTAGCCAAATGCACCAAGGCTGGCGGGCTCAAACCCAGTCCGGGCCTACTAAATAACAACGACAACTATAACAAAAAAACAGCTGGGCATTGTGGCTGGTGCTTTTAGTCCCAGCTACTTGGGAGGCTGAGGCAAGAGAATCACATCTAAGAGTTGGAGGTTGCTGTGAACTGTGATGCCATGGCACTCTACCGAGGGTGACAGAGTAAAACGCTGTCTTGAGAAAATAAAATATAATAATAAAAATAATTTATAAAATATTCATTAAGCACCTACTATGTAAAAGAAATGTGTGAGATGACAGTGAATGAAAACTTCTGATTCTGGCTCAGCACCTATAGCTCAGCAGCTAGGATATCAGCCACATACACCGGAGCTGGAGGGTTCGAATCCAGCCTGGGACTGCCAAACAACAACAACTACAACCAAAAATAGCCGGGCATTGTAGCAGGAGCCTGTAGTCCCTGCTACTTAGGAGGCTGAGGCAAGAGAATCACTTAAGCCCAAGAGTTTTGGGTTGCTGTGAGATGTGACGCCACAGCACTCTACCGAGGACAACAGCTTGAGACTCTGTCTCAAAACAAAAAAGAAAGAAAAGAAAAGAAAACTTCTGATTCCAGGAGTTTCCTAACAGGCAAGAGAAAACACTACCAACTATGATATAAACTAGGTCAATTGGCCTAGGAAAGGTACTCATGGCGACAAAAAGAGAATGAGAGGGGGAAATGTTGAGGAAAGGAAAGAGGGGGGACCCAGAAAACGTCAGCTGAATCTAACATCAGCCAAGCCCTGTGCTGACTGCAGAGAGCACAAAGATTAGTATGACATGGTTCTGCTCATGGAAGAATTCCCCTTTGGGGTAGGTTGAAATAAAATTTTTAATAGCTAGTACGTATGAATTTACCTAATGCAACCAACAGTATAAACTAAGTATTATCATTAATCCCATTTAAAGGTTCATGGTCACATCCTTAATAAGAGGCTGCACCCTTATTAACCTCTATAGCTGACTGCCTCTCAGTAGGTGGAACTCGATAAGCAAATAGTTGACAATAAAACAAGGGATGATAAATTAACGTAGCAGAAGGAAGAAAGAGGAAGTCCTCGGTCAGTTGCCTGGTACGTGGTGCCTGCCCGGCCTAGAGGTCTACAACCATCTGATTTATGAGCCTGCCGAGTTGCTCAGTCAGTTGCCTGGTAAGTGGTGCCTGCCCAGCCTGGAGGTCTATACCCATCTGATCTTTGAGCCTGCTGAGTTGCTGATCCCCCTGGACCTCAGTCTCTATTACAAGAATCCAATATGTAAATATAAGTCTAGTTCTCAGAACAATGTGTGACACAAAGTATGCCAAATAAACCCAACACAACCCCAGCGCAGCTTGGGACACAGTCTCACCTGTGATTCTCAAGGTCCTCTGCTTCAGCTGCTAGGGCCGTAGCTGACATCCTCTCAGCGGAGGCAGGAACCTACGGGAAAGGACCACACAGAATGGAGTGAAGCCATCCAACAGGAAGCATGGTTGTGCGACCCCATCACAGCAGTGACCAGGAATGCCTAACACGTTAATGACGTAGGTGTGCAAGGAGTGTGTGTATGCATTGTTTGTATGTCCAGAAGGCTGCTAATTTCAGAAAAGAGATGGCAAAAATGTATCAAAAGCCCAGTGACTTCTATGGAAAGCCTGACCCTCCTTCCTCATTTCCCAGTCCAGCAACAAGACTTCATGGACACACAGACCACACACACTACACCTCTCCTTCTGGAGTCTTTTTTTCTTTTCTTTCTTTCTTTCTTTCTTTCTTTCTTTTTT